ATCCCAGGAGGCAGCAGGAGGGGACAGGGGGATGCGAGAGGTGATGGAGAGAGGCAGCTGGTATTGTTCAAAGGTCACCAGTGAGCACCCAAGGCTCGGTTCTGCTGAAGACTTCTGGGAAACAGGGTAGAGGCAGCTGGAAGCTGGCCCACCTGGGCAGAGGGGAAGCTGGGGCATTAGCCACCACCTCGTCACCTCTTGTCAGCCATCAGTCGAGGGCTGCCTCAGAGCGCCGGGTCCCCTCCCCTTGGGCCTTGCCCTGTGCACCAGCCAAGCCCACTCCCATGGCCAGACAACGGCCCGTCAGTCCCAGATACTTACAACCTGCAGCCTTCATGGATGGGAGGTAGATGCAGAAAGGACATGGTGGGTGCCTGCTACTGACCCTCCCTCCCTTTCCCAGGTGAAGCTGGCTTCCTGGTCCAGGGAGAAGCCGGGAAACTGGTACAGCACTTTCCGTCGAGGGAAGAAGGTGAGTTGCCGAAGGCTGAGGGGGCAGATGGTATGAAAAGTGCGGGAACCAGCGTGCGGTGTTGGGAGAGGGGCTTCGAGGGGGAACAGGACAGACGTGCCTCTGCCTTGTTGGTGCGCTGTAGGCTGGGGAGGGAGGGGGTGGGGCAGCATCAGATGTGTGGTGGGGGAAGCATGGGGCTTGGTGGAAACCAGAGTCAGTGCTGGAAGGACCTGAGGCTCCCTGGGCGAACTCACAGCTCAGCTGAGACCGAAAGAGTGAACTGGGTTAGCAAGTTCTGGGGGACAGGGAAAAGTGTTGCAGGCACGGGAACAGCATGTGCAAAGGCCCAGAGTCAAGAGAGGGTCTGGTGAATTTAAAGAAGGAAAAGCCACGTGTTCTGCTTTAGGGAGTGCAAGGGGGAATGTGGTTAGAGAAGAGGCTGGGAGGTAGGTGGAGGCGAGGCCCATCTCCCCAGAAAGACCCGGGGTCCGTAGGGAGCCATGGGGCATGTTTAAAAGAGGGAGGGGCCCAGATCACATCTCTGTGTTAGAAAAATGCCTCTGGGGCTGCTGGGGCTGGTTGTTGAGACTGGAGGCTGGGAGACCAGGAAGAGACAGATGTGCTGATCCAGGAGAGTGAGGAGAGGATCCAGGCTGGGGCTGGTGCTACGGGGACAGAGAGGAGGGCATGATTTGGAACAACATCAAAGAGGGAAGCTAATAGGACCTAGTCCTTGATGAGCTGCAGCGGCGGGAGGAGACAGGCCTGCCCAGGTTCCTGATTGGGGAATAGGATGTCTGATGAGATGCTGAGGCATGTAAGGGAGAAGATCAGGTTTAAGGGGCGAGGGATCTTGGGTTCAGTTTGGGACTCCTTTATGTAATGTATATTTATATGCTAAGCACTGGGAACATAGCAGCAAATTAAACACAGTTCTTGACTTCATGAAGTTGATATTCTCCTGGGAATATAACCAAGGAAACAGACGGTCCAAGGAAACAAATAAAGCTGTGGTATAATGTAAGTCGGTATCTTGGTTTGGATTCCTCTCAGATCTAGGAGGCGATTCCAGAAAATATCAGTCGGGGGATGTGGAAATAAGACAGGAGAGAGAAGGAAGTCGAAGGCTGCATTATGGAGCTCGTTGTCTCAAACCAGTGATATGTGCATAATATACTTTATTTAACCCAACATATCCAGAATATTGGCAGAGCAATATGAAGATCATAGAGGCATTTTACATTTTTTTAAATAGAAGTTTTACCTTCACAGGACATTGTACTCTGGAAGCTAAATTTCATTGGAAATGCTCCATCTATACTGACATTTCATAAAACCTGCAGCTGGGAAAGTAGACCCCCCTACTCAGTTTGTTCCAAGCCTAAGCTTTCAGATACCTGGGTGGAGGCTAAGTTAAGAGTTACGAATTTAAGTGAAGAATTTGAATTAAATAATTAAATTAAAAATTAAACAAATACAGTTAAAAAAATAGTTTCTCAGTCTCAGTCACATTTTTCTTTTTGGTTAATCCTCTCAACTGAAGATATTTCTTCCATTGCTTTTCAGAGACAGTGGGAGGGAGAGAGGGAGGGGGAGAAAAAGAGAGAGAGAAACATTGATGTGAGAGAGACACATGGACTGGTTGCCTTCTGCACAGGCCTCCACCACCTGCTCCTTGACTGGGGGGCGGGGAGCGAACCTGCAACCCCGGTACATGCCCGTGACCAGGAATCCAACCTGAGACCCTTCAGTGCTTGGGCCCATGCTCTAACCACTGAGCCACGGCCAGGGCTCACCAGCCACATTTTCAGTGCTCAGTAGCCGCCATGCCCAGGCGGTGAGTGGCCGGATGGCTGGGCGAAGGGGGCGCCCTCACCTGCTGCCCTGTCCCACCCCAGTTCTCCTATGTGGACGCCGACGGGTCCCCGGTGAACGTGGTGCAGTTGACCTTCCTGAAGCTGCTGAGCGCCCGCGCCCGCCAGAGCTTTGCCTACTCCTGCCAGAACGTGGCTGCCTGGCTGGATGAAGCCGCCGGCGACCACGGCCGCTCCCTTCGCTTCCTGGGGACCAACGGACAGGAGCTGTCCTTCAACCAGACGGCAGCAGCCACCGTCACTGTCCCTTATGACGGCTGCCGGGTAAGGGAGAGGGGCAGGGGCTGGCCGGGCGGGGAGGGGCGGCCTCACTGCCCCCCCCCCCCACCCCACAGACTTCCCGTGTGAGACTTCCCCCGCCAGCTCCGGGAGGGACAGGCCAAAACCCTCCTGGAGTTCAGCTCTTCCCGAGCGGGCTTTCTGCCCCTGTGGGACGTGGCGGCCACCGATTTCGGCCAGACCAACCAGAAGTTTGGGTTTGAACTGGGGCCCGTCTGCTTCAGCGGCTGAGCGTCTTGGGGGTGGGCGGGGCCACGAGGGAGCCCCAGCTGGGGCACACTTGGTGCTGAGGCTTTGAAGCCACCATATTTATCGTCTCCTGTGCCTGTGGACTCAGAGGGAAGTCTGCTCGTCATGGCCAGACAATGTCCCTTCTCCACTCCCCGGGGCTGCGGGCTGGACTCCCCTGGCCCAGGAGTCCAGCCTCCCCGCCCCCTCCTTTGCTGGAGTGATGCAGTCTTTCTCCCCTCCCTGCCCATTCCACCTGCAACTCCCACTCCGGATCCCCCACGCAACGAACTTCTAATTCAGAGCTGAGTGCCCCCACGCCTGTCTCCCTTCTCAGGCAGTGCCCCAACACCCTTTGGTGCTACCCTTTCCCCTAGTTAAGCACTGGACGTCTCCTGATCCCAGGCTGGGCCCCTTCCCTCATTCCTCTTCTCAGGTGGGTTCAGAGAGAAGGAACTGAAGTCCGACCACAGAGGGAAGTGAGACTTGCCTGGACTGAGCTGTGTATTCCTTTGGCTGCCTCAGCCCAGCTCTGAATACAGGCCCCCTCATATCTCACCAAGCCAGAGGGCTGGGGGACCAAGGTGCGGGGTCAATCAGGATCCTAATGGTGCTGCCCTATTTATACCGGGATCTGTATTAAAAGGGAAAATCCCCTCTGTTATATATTTAATCTGCTTCCTCCTCACAGAAGGCTGGGATATGATGAGAGAGATTCTAGCATGACCCCCTCCCCCACCTCCCCAGGGCATCATTGGCTTCTCAAGTCTGAGAATAAACCACTGAACTGTGTCCCTGTCTGTGTCCTTCCTCTGGTGCTGCCCGCATCTTCCTTAGGGTCTGTCTGTGGTGTCACCTGAGGTATTGCCATCACCTGTCTTAATCGTGTTGTTTAGTGGAGGTGGTTTGAGGGGGTGGGGGAACCCAATTCTAATGGGATTCACTGGAGGTGGTGGGCCTGTTTATTAACTCAGGAAAAGTTGAAAATAGCTAGATCTCTAAGAGAGTAGATCTTAACTTTTCTCACCACAAAAAAAATAAAGAATAATTATGTGATGTAATACAGGTGTTAGTGAATCATTTTGCAATATAATATGCGGATCAACACATTGTCCCCTTAGACTTACATCTTATATGTTATATATGTCAATTATATCTCAGTAAAGCTGGGAAAAATGTGAACCCATTAGGAAGGCATCAAACTTGAAAAAAGAACCCTGACCGGTTTGGCTCATTGTATAGAGCGTCGGCCTGCGGACTCAAGGGTCCCAGGTTCGATTCCAGTCAAGGGCATGTACCATGGTTGCGGGCACATCCTTAGTGGGGAGTGTGCAGGAGGCAGCTGATCGATGTTTCTCTCTCATCGATGTTTCTAACTCTCTATCCCTCTCCCTTCCTCTCTGTAAAAAGTCAATAAAATATATTTTTTAAAAAAAGAAAAAAGAAAGAAAAGAAGAGAGGGAGGGAGGGAAGGAGAGAAGGAAGGAAGGAATGGAGGGAGGAGAGAAGGAAGGAAGGAAAGAAAGAAAGAAAGGAAGAAAGAAAGAAAGAAAGATCTCCATGTTAATCTTGATTAGTCCTGGAGACACTGGCTGAGCTGAGGGGATACATGGAGAGATGACATGGGATGTGGTTTTGATTTGAAATGAAAGGACTAGATGTCAAAGGTCTGGGTAGCAAGTCAGGATGAGTTGGAGGTGAAGAGAAATGAGTTAGGAGTTGAGCTTTGAAGTGAGTTTGGGGCTGGAATTTAGGGGTTGAAAATGGGTTGAGGATGAGTTGAATTGGAGGTTGGTTTGGAGTGAGTTGAATGAGTCTGGGGTTGTGAATTAATGATATCTGTTGAGGTGGAGGATGGACAATGAGTGGATTGAGCTCAGGGTTTGGAGTTGGATGTTGGATTAAATTGAATTAGGGTTGCTTTGAGATGTAGGATGAACCGAGTAGAGGTAAGTAGCAGTTGCTATGGGTAGGGGGTGGGAATTGTCAGTTTGGTAAGTCAAGCTGGGATCAGTTAAGATGAGAGTTGAGTCTGAGGTGGCTTGAATTGGGGATTAGATGTTGGGTTGAGTTTTTTATTTATTGAGATGTAATTCAATACCATATAATTCACTCATTTGAAGTATACAATTAATGGTTTTTAGTACATTCATAGACGGGTGAAACCATCACCACAATCGATTTTAGAACATTTTCATCACCTCAGAAAGAAATCCTATATCCATTAGCAGCCACTCTCATTTCCTCCAAACCTCTCAGCAGTAGGCAACCACTAATCTTTCTGTCTCTACGGATTTGCCTATTTTGGACACGTCATGTAAATGGCATCTTACACTATGTGGCCCTTTGTGTCTGGCTTCCTTCATTTAGCATAATTGTTTTAAGGCTCATGCTGTAGTATGCATCAATACTTCATTCCTCTTATTGTTGAACTAGAGGCCCGGTGCATGAATTTGTGCATCGGTGGGGTACCTCGGCCTGGCCAGCGGTTGGGGCCAATTGGGGCTGGCCAACTGGGGGGGAGGGACCACGGGAGGTTGGCCGGCCACGGGAGGTTGGCTGTGGGAGTGCACTGACCACCAGGGGCAGCTCCTGTGTTGAGCAGTTGACCGGTCATTCATTCACTTAGGCTTTTATACATATAGACAGTATTTCATTTTGTCTACCCATTCACCAGTTAATGGAGATTGTTGAGTTGAGTTAGGAGTGATGGAGAGCGTGTGTGTTGAATTGGGTCAGGTGAGGTTGAGTGGGTAGAGGTTGTAGGTTGGGGGGAGTGCTTTCCCCAAACCCGGAGCTTACCCTACTTCTCCTGCCACCGGACCCACTAAGGTCACCTGAGTAATTGTCTTGGATTCCCTTATGCAATAAATGTCATGAAGAATCTTACTGCCTTGAAGAGTGTTGATGTCCCGAGGTTGATTTATGAGTTCACTCATCACACACTTACTCATTTGTTTCATTCTATTGAGTGTTTACTCAGTGCCAGGCACTGTTCCAGATGCTGGGGACAGAAGAGCGATGTGGTTGCTGCCCTCAGAATATTACTTCTGAAGGAGATGATAATTCTATATAAACTAGTAGCCTGGTGCACGAAATTTGTGCACATTAAAAGGGAATTAATTAGTGGAAATATTTTTAATATTTCTATTTGCCCTTTCTCTATAATAGAAGTGTAAGAGATGAAAGGAAATTAGTAAAATGTATATGAAAATAATATATAAATTTACTAATAAATAAACTAACAGAAGGATATAACAACAGAGGCATGATACAAAAACGACAAAAACATGATATGAAAAAACAAAAACATGATATAAAAACAACAGTGATGCAAACAATGACTGATAAAGTTATTAAACTTATTCTAATATCTCCCTGTACACCACATTAGGAGTGAAAACACTTTCAGAGTGCTTGACTAATTTCCCTTGTGCTGAAGTATTTAGAACTTTAACTGTAACGTCACATGCTCTTTGATCTTGAGAGAAAACAACCTATAACTGACCATGTACGAAAACGGGTTCAGGTAGGAATATGCCTACTCTGTCTAGATTTTGTCCTTGTGATTTATTAATAGTCATCACAAATGCTGGCATCACGGGAAACTGTCATTGAATCAATTTAAATTGGAGGCCAGTGTCAGATGGGGACAAATCAATTCTTGGAATCAGAACAACCTCTCCCTCTGCAGATCCTGGTAATACTTCAGCTTCGATAATGTTAGGTCATAATCTTTTGATAATAAATCTGGTACCATTACAAAGACCCCATTTACTATTAAGATTTCTCAATAGCATGATGATTGCACCCACTTTCAATTTTAATTTATGACATGGCATTCCCAAAGGAGTAATACTATTAAGAAATTTGATGGGAAAATTTTCCTTTTCAGCACCATCTGTGGAATTAATGGAATCATCACTCAAATATGTGTGAAAATCTCCATCGAGTATATCCAAAATTTCTTCATTTAATTTTTGAACGTGCTCATTTTTTGGACAAAGAATTGCACGTTTAGATATATTTTTAATATTGTCTATAGATATAGTATTTCCAAAGGTAGCTTCAATAATAGATCCATTACAAATCATTTCACAGGGGATTTCAATAATATCCATTCCTAAATGAAAACTGCTATCAAGTTTGCCATCTCCAAGTTTTACTAACCATTCACTATAAGCAGAATCCTCTGATCTCATATTTGTTTTAAGAGACAACTTTCTGAAACATCCCCAAACATTACAGTACTTTAAACTCAGTCTGTACTATGGCTGATCCCATAGCATGCGGTACAATACTGAGACATTGTCGAAAATCCCCTCCGAGAAGGAGAACTTTCCCACCAAATACAACATTCAAATTCATAATTTCTCTTAGTAATCTGTCTATGGCGTTTATATCATGACCGTGCAAAGGTAGCATAATCACTTGTTCTCTAAATAAGGACTTGTATGAATGGCTTCACGAGGGTTTTACTGTCTCTTACTTCCAATCAGTGAAATTGATCTTCCCGTGAAGAAGCGGGAATACTAAATAAGACGAGAAGCCCTATGGAGCTTTAATTA